GGTGGTGGTGATGGTGTATAGGTGTGTGATGGTAGTGGTGGTGTATAGAGATGTGTGGTGATGGTGTATAGGTGTGTGATGGTGGCGATAGTATAACAGAGATGTGTGATGGTGGTGGTAGTGGTGGTGGCCGTGACATGCGTGAGGAGCTGATGATGTTTGGTAATCCCAGGTGGGTGGAGGATTGCCCCCCTCCCCACACCCCCCATGTACACGTGGCAGATGAAATATAATGCTCATGTATGGATGGTAGCATATATACATGCCTGTTTACATACAAACATACGCACATCTGCATTTACACACAAATGTACACACCCATGAATGTCTTAACACACACACACACACACACACAGAGAGAGAGAGAGAGAGCTCTGGAATAATTACTCGTCACGTCACCCCAAAACACATACGCTCTATATCCTTCTAGAAGTTCTCCCATCTTCCTCTCCTCCCCATCCTTCCCCTCCTCCCCTCCCATCTACCCTTCCCAATCCCTGTCCTCCGACTTCCATCCCCACCCTCTCATCCCTCTTCTCTCCCTCCCTCTTTCTTCCTTCTAAGCACTCCATCCTTCCTTAAATCTCTTTACGTCCCCTCCCTTCCCTCCCCCTCCCTCTCCCCCCCCCCCCTCACACAGCTGTCCGCAACATGTGACGTACATTGGTAACTTTGTATACTGTATTTACATAAAATCCAGATTATCTTGATTGACTAATATTTACCATTTCTTATTTCATCCTAACGCTAAATGGGGGCGTTATGTTATGTTTGGATTAGGTAATGTTTGGTTAGGTTATGTTTGGTTAGGTTATCGTTAGAGTGTTTAAACCATCAGGTGAAATAAGCTGGGGTTCCTAATCTTCCTGAAATTTAATGTTTTTTCTGTAATATATGTAATATATTACTCCTATAGCTATAAAGATACAATATCACTACTGTACGAGATGGGTCTACCGGGTCGAGTATATATATATATATATATATATATTATGGATCGAGGGTTTTTTTTCGATGTTTTATACGAAGCCAAGTTTGTCAGCTAAGATTGGTGGTAAACACATCTGTGTGATCAGATAGAAGAGATAGAGAGAGAAGAGAGAGTTTTTAAATCCATGGGTGAGGTGTGTGTGTGTGTGTGATCAACAGTTGGTACGATATAATCAACCCGACCGCCAGTTTTGAAGTTATTTTCACACTACCAAGTGGATGGTTGGTGTGTTTATGCCAAGGTGGTCCCACTCAAGGGAAACAATCTCACTCTCGGCCTGTTTCTGTTTATCCGTCTGTTTGTTTGTCCATCCGTCATTAAGCTTATAAATCCATCTCATCCAGTTTTCAATGGATTGTTCACGCCCCATGGTGCATATGTGGGTGGGTGGGTGATGCGGTGTTTACGCGCTACAGTGGTCGCCGGTCAGTCTCCCACCACTCTGTCCATCTCGCGCTTGTATTACCAACCTCAGATGACCCTGTGTTGGTGATGCTTATGATGGTGATGAAAGATAGTGAGGATTTTAGGAGGAGGTGGTGGTGATGATGATACTTGAGACATCGCACCTGCGCCCTGCCTCCTATTACTTCATCCTGGAGGAGGGATTATCTGTCGGGTTTAAGGGAAAGAGACAGGGAATGTGCCTTAAGGGCTAACAGAGAGAGAGGAAGTGGTCACATGAGATTAGGGGAAGGGATAGGGGAATTAGTGTATCATATGTGGATGGGGGAATGGGAGGTGTCATTGTATAGTCGGTGGTGAGGGAGGGATAGGGGGTAGGTCATGAGGGGTGAGGGGAGGATGGGGGTCACGTGATGGTTGGTTGTGAACTATATTTTTGTGTTTTAATTTTGTGTAGATGAGAGAGATAGAGTTTGATTCTTTGGGAGAGGCAGGATGAATGCTTGCATGTACAGAAAGTGTTTTTGTGTGTACATATTTGGTGTAGTAATAATGTAGTGAAACTTCCGAAGCATGTGTTGTGTCATCGAGTTTGACCTTTGTCCGAGCTGACCTTTGGACGAGGTGCCGGTGCTTAGGGTGAAATCTTGTTTGTGTAACAGTGGCAAGGTTAGGCGGACTGCTGGAACATCTGTTGAAGAGACGAGCCTTAGTTCATTAAATGTTAGTAGGTAAAGGCTTTTAATGGCACTCACCCACATGACCTAACCTAACCAGATCCAACCTAACCTACAGTTTGTCCAACAGATATTTATGTGTGTGTGCGGGGGAGGGGGGGGGGGCTATATCATATGTACACAGGAGGTTGACTCACACGGATAATCCCACAGATAAAACACCGTAATCCCAGTCTCGGATTATCAACGAATTTACTTCTCTGACTGGAGGTTAGCTAACACATGTAGGTAAGGTATTCCCAAGTACATTTTCAATAAAAAAAATTGGTACCACCTGAACATTATCCTCCCTAACCCAGCTTATTGAATTTACCTGATGATTAACTTACTTTAACTACAACCTAACTTAAGTTATATTCTTCTGCCTCAACTGGGGAAGGAAGCTACCGTCTCTTTACGATTTAATGATTCTAGAGGTGACAGGGACTTCCACTTTTGAATGGCTGTGTGACGCATGCGCAGTAGTGATAGTCTAAGGTTCTTGCATCATCCGCCCAGACTTTCCAGCCCGGCGCCGGCTTCTTGTTTAATGTCCCCGATATTTTCTCAGTTAACCGAGTGCAAATAACACCAAACTGATTCCCCTGACTGACTCGCTACTCACTGACACGACTTGTCATCAGTCCGCCCTGACACACATCATTACAAGTTCTCGGGATTACTATTTGATTATTTTCATTCTTATTTTAGTAATTAAAAATCTACTGTGTGATATGTGTGTGTGTGTGTTATTCGATACTTTCAACTCTTTCCTGTCACTTTCTACATTTCCTTCGCTGTCCTCTTCCATTTCCTCCCTGTTTTTTGTTTCTATATCGAGCCCCACACAATACTGGGAAAAGAAGAAAACATATAGAGGTGTATATACTGTATATAACTCCTCTGTGTGTGTTGGGGTGCGCTATCATCGTCCTTACCGCACTAGAAGGTGTACCGTACACCTCCACACGTGCAATAACTGCGGATGGCCCTGCCGTCTCTTGAGCCACCTCAGAGCTCACCAACGAAGGTGACGTCACTAAAAACTCGTATCGTTATGTCGTCGCTGGATGATCATCATACTCGAGACCGAAGTAGTAGTAGTTGTGAAGATCGTTAATATAATAAACAAGGCTCTAGCTTGCTTGGGATCGGCAACCTTAAATGTTTGAGCGTCTGAAAGTAAATGGCATTGCAACTCTCAGCAAGTATACTAAAGATTGATTGTTCAGCTACAGGTAGGCTTAAACTTGTCTGAAAATGGACATTAGTCCTCGACGACCAGACTTTCCAGCCATTAACGCCCAAGACTAGGATTTTCTAACTTTCCTCGTGGGGTAACTTAAACCTTTTGGAAACACTTTGAACCTAGTGAGATATTCTGTGGGAAATCGTGTGGTGTTCTTACATGACGAGGGGGGGTGACGGTGTTTCCTGTGCTGATGGCGCCTGAGTTGGTGCTGACAGGGTGGACTGGGGTTGTTTAACATGCACACTGATGTTGTCACACCTGTCATGTTGTGACCGTGGAAACATGAGATGGTTGCTGACGTTTGTACGAGGTGGAGGCATTCTCACTGGCTGCAGCTCTGGGTCTTTTGTAAACCTGTCCGTGAGTAATTAACTGTCTTATAACCGAGGGAGAAATTGTGGTGTTATCACATTGTGGTGGTGTGTCTTTCACATGTTTTTTTTTATTTGTTTTTTTACAGGGATTAGACCACCTGGGCACAGGTCACTGACCCACATAGGGGCCTGGGGGCGAAAATGTAATAATAATAATAATGATGATAATAGTTCATAGTAAATAAATTTATAATAGAAAATACAAATTTAAAATAATAATAATAATAATAATAATAATAATAACACTGATAATAATAGTAATAATAATAATAATAATAATAATAATAATAATAATAATAATAAATAACCATAAAGAAATACAAAATTAAAAAAGATCAACAGTGAGAAATGATGTACAGTATGTATGTTGTGTTGTCAAAGTAAGAGAAACAATTGAGACCCTGCAATTGTGTGTAAATGAGGCAGAAAGACAGATCAGGAACCTGGGACTTGGTCACAATTTTCGTGATGCCATATGGCAGCAGGGTCTACCATTAGACAACATATTATGCTTACAATATCTTCCCAGGCGGTAGTACCTCCCTGTTTGAGCTGCCCACTACTACTTTTACACCTGTACCTGGTGTTGTGGTGTCTGTCACATGGTGGTGTTGTGGTGTCTGTCACATGGAGGTGTTGTAGTGTCTGTCACATGGTGGTGTTCGTCACATAGTGGTGTTGTATTTATCACATGGTGGTGTGCCCGTCCGTCACATAGTGGTGTTGTGGTGTGTCACAGTGGTGTTGTGCTGTCTATCACATAATGGTGTCTTGGTGTTGTGCTGTCTGTCACAGAGAAGTGCCTTGCCGTCTATTGCCCGTCACACAAGTTGTCAGCCGGATATTTCGAGAATTATCATCACAGCTACACCGAATTTTATGTTTACATAACTTACGCCAACATGAGACTTGTTACCACTTTTTTTTCTTGAATGTCATATTTTGTGTGGGTCTTAGTAAACAGGGTGGGAGACTGTAACTTTGAAGGCTATGACTGATCGTAATTAATGAGAGTGAAGGGTAACTCCCTTTTTTCACCTTCATTTTTTCGAGTTAGTTTTAGTTCCACGAGTCACCTGGGCGTGATGAACAAACCCTAACAAGAGCTGTATGACTATGAGTTTGACCATTAAGTAATATTCCAGTATCAGTCCCTTGTTTTTCTTCTTTTTTAGATGAATTGAAAGCAAGAGTATGACATTTTTTTATTTACGGTATATTGACACAAAATATCAAAGTTCTAAAGCCTTTTTTATTTTCAGATTGTTTGAAGCTGAAGAGCAAGATCTGTTCTCCGATTTACAATCTCTGCCCCGGAATGCAGCGCTTAGGAAACTCAATGATCTCATCAAACGTGCCCGCCTCGCTAAGGTATGTCTCAACAGGGCATCACAGGGATATCATGTAGATTAAAAGGCCCCAATTATTTCACATGATAATTTAACACCCAAATGGTAACCTAACTCTGCCTAATTTGATCTAACAGGATATCCTAATTTAATATAACCTTACCTTACCTTGGGGTTCCTAATCTTATGAGATTCATCATCTCATGAAGATTCGGAACCCCTACTTATTTCATCCAACCCAACCCATTTCAACCCAGCCCAGCCCAACTCAACTCCATTCAACCCACCCCACCCCAACCCAATTTACCCCCCCTAGTTAGTATTAGGGTATTTAATCATTAACTTAAATAAGCAGGGTTCCTAATCATCGTAAGATCCTCATCTTGTTTTGTCCTCTTTGCAAATGTTTCTTTCTGCTACTGTGATGGTCCTTACTTTTGACTCTTCTTGTCGTTCTTCTTTCCCTATACGATATCCTTCTCTCCTCTCGTTTTCTCATGTTCTACTTCTCTCCTTTCACTTGCTCTACATTCCTCCTCCTTCATTTATGGCACTTTCTTCCTTTTTTCTCATGCTACTTACCTCATTTCTTTCATGGCCTACTTTCTTCCTGTCAATTATTTTTTTACTTCTTTCCTTTCTCCATCTTTTGCACTTAATGCCATTTTGGTGTGGACATGCAGCTCTTTAGGAATGGAATGGCAGAGATATGAACACTGTATAACTAAATGCAATCTTTATACTGTACAAAGAGCTTGATAGAAAGAACTTTATCGCATATAGCTTGATAGAGAACCTTATCATCTTTGTCATAATAGCCTGTATTGTCTTCGTAATCTACACACTCACTATGTTGAAATGCCCTGTAGTTTGAGTTTCTCCCCACCTAGTTATTATATATCATATTTGTATCACTGTTACTTGTATATTATTTAACTGTATATTTTAAGCCTTCCGGCTGCAATGCTCTTTCATTAAACCATTTATTATTATTATTATTATTATTATTATCAACAACACACACACACACACACACACACACACACACACACACACACTCTTTTTTCTCTGAGTTCACCTGGAGACCTTTCTGTACTTTGGTAGTGTGCAGCATAGGTAGTGGAACGTGGTACATTATCAATGTACTCGTATAGAGATCTGTTCTAGGACATTTTATCAACAGACATTTCATCACCTCTGGTGCAATATCTTAAACATAACCCAACTTAACCTAATCTAACCATGGCTTCATTGCTTTCTAAATATTGACATTATCATATAAATGTTATAATTATATCACGGTACTCAATAAACTAGTTAAAAATGTCCACCTGCAGATCAGTTGCTCTTAGAATATTGATATCAGCTGGTTGGTGTAAATATATACAGGAAGTATATCTTGGTATTGTTACATAGATACAGTATATACCTGATTACTTGGTATTACTATAGGTCATTTGGTATCAGTTGAAGGAAGTGAAGGCAGTTGAGTGCACTGCCTCCTTATGCAGATTGGACCCCGTTAATCCGAGAAGTTTGGGACCAGACCGGTTCCGGATGAGTGAAAATTCCGAACCATCGACGACAAGGTTATACAGTAATAGGCAAAATAATGCATAAAATTTACTATTGCTGGTACTGTACCAATACAACTTACAGCAGCAGAAATCTATTCCAGGCTTACTGGACCTCTTTATGACAAAGTGTACACAATCATTGAACCCACACCATATTCTACACACAAGGCCCACTTTCTAATTTATTCAGTGTAGACACCTTTTCTAAAATTGTTAATGCCACATGCTAATGTTTTGCCACATTACAACCACTTACACTGCTTGCTGGTCTCTTAGGAGGCATATTTAGAGGTAAATATTTAAAGGTAAAATACTATAGTGGCAACAGGCACTAGAAGTGAACTATGACAGACGCAAACTCACGACAGCCAGATTCAACACCGTCCTGAACCATTGAAGCTCTTGGATTATTGGTTCCTGGATTGGCAGGGTCCAACCTGTCTTCTGAAATAGAATGTCGATAGTTTTATTTTCATCCCTTTATTGACAACTATTTTTCTAGTCTTGAATTCATTCTTTCTTAATTTTTTGTTCTCAAACTTTTGCACATGAATACAGGTGTTTAAATTCCATCCTGTCCACAAGGTTTCTTAGTGCATGTATGTGCAGGCATGTGACAACTGCTTCTCATACATGTTACTCAAACTGTGGAATTCTTCTTCAAATGTTTCATGTGTTCTTTCCAGGGTATTTTAAACGGTATGATATTTGACATGTTAACCACTTGAGTGCAGCACTATACTGTACTATGATTTAACCTCCTAAGTATAATGTCATCATACTAAAGTTAAATAAATAAAAATCTGCCAAAAAGTCAAGGGATCACCTCTGGTCTTACATAAAAGGAAAACTGAATTCAGAATATACATGAGGTGAGACATGGGCACTCAAACATGGTTGGGATTACTTTATTTAGAAGGCCAAGAACAAAATTACTGTACTTACTGGAATTACTACTTTTAGATCTCAGTTCTTTAGCCAGTACGTTGAAAAGCTGCAGGATTAAAGCCAGTGACAGTTTTGAAGTCAATTCTCCCCCCCCCCCCTTCCCCCATGATTTCCCTGTGACAAAGTTAATTCTCTCACACCACAATTTGCCAGTTATAACCTTCTTGCAATGTTCAGGAAATATGCCTTTCAAAGATATTAAGAATACACTCCTTATCTGCAGGTTCACGCATACATCATCGCCGAGCTGAAGAAGGAGATGCCATCTATGTTTGGCCGAGAGAATAAGAAGAAGGAGCTCATCAAGAACCTAAGTACCATCTATGAAAAGATTCAACGGGAACACCAGATCTCTCCTGGAGACTTCCCAGAGATCAAGAGAATGCAGGTTAGTATAGTACTGTATGATGAAAGAGAAGGTAGGTGATTATGATGAAAGAGAAGGTAGGTATGTATGATGAAAGAGAAGGTAGGTGTGTATGATGAAAGAGAAAGTAGGTGTGTATGATGAAAGAGAAGGTCAAGTATGGTTCACAACACAAGTGTTTATTGCTCCATTAATCACCATGAGTCTGAACAATTGCAGTCCAGGAAGCAGTTGTACAGACTCCAAGGTGAGTCATACTTTGTTTACATGGCGTGAACACTGCCGTCAGTCAAGTTACACTACAATTATGTTCTCTTGTGCGTGGCTGCCTAAATCCACACTTCCAAATTCCACACTTTCCCTTATGGCTCTGCACCTTCATTGTGCAGCCAACTACTAAAGTCCGTTCGCCTCGTCCCCAGAACCTCGAACCCCGAGATTCAGACTCGTGAACCCGAAGTAGTAGACTAATACATTATTTTGTTAATAAATGCTTTGGATTCGTGACTCTGAATATCAGGGTTCATGGTTCAGAGGCAAATGGACTTTAATACTGTACAGTATTCGACTGTACATAATCAGCATGTGAAATTTAAGAATACAGAATAACATAATTAATTTTCCACTTATTACTTGAGTAAAAAAGGAGAATTAAACAATCATGCAACTGGCTGAGTGACTTTGTGTGGTGGAGACAACTCAACTCATCACCATTGAGTTAGAGGTGTAAGTTGTATGGTGATTGTAGGAGAATGATGACACATTGAAGGCAAAATTTACTTTTTTAACGGTGAAACAAGTTTTCCTCAGTACAATTAGTGTTTTTTTTTTTTTTGTATATTTTCCAATATGTGTAATAGGCTCTGTATTTCACAATTCCATGATTTGGTAATCCAGTTAGGGTGGGATACCAATTAGCATTAATTTTCGAGGTCAACCTGTAGCTGAAATATGTTCTTAATGTTGTTTTAAACATTCTTGCAGGGTAGTACAGCATATAGTAATACCTTCGAATATACAGTAATGGGGTAATGGTTTTGAAGACATCATTGAGATGCAGCAAGTTGTGTAATAAAACTTATTTTCACGTAATTTTTTCCCATTAATTTCCATTTTAAAAGGAAGATAGGTTTTTGAGAGTCCAGTAATATTAAAAACACTAGTATCTTTTTTCTTTTCTTTTTTTAATTAGAAAATTACTTTAATTGTGGAAATTAGTTATGTTAAGGTTTATGAGTGTTCAGCTGATGTTGTCTCGGAAGCATGGTGATTGCCCTCAGTAGCTACTAAAACACGAGCTACTGTATTAAACATCAATCGGTAATCAATCATAGTACCATCCTCATATCTGAAGGATGGCGACCACAGTCCTCCACTCTAAATATTCTCGGGCTGAAATTCATGGTAATACATAATATTTTAGGTACTGTAATTTATTTCATAAGTTAAGAAAATTATACAAAAAATGGTGAAAATTACTTTTATTCGGAAAGAATATTTCTACTGTATATGGATGAAATGAAGTGGTGTTTTGATAATAATCAGCTGACTGCACACGACACAAATGGCTTCGTCTGTAAAGGAGGGTGAGTACAGGGCTGTACATCACACATGAGTAAAGAACAATGCATTACTATGAAAGAGCTATTTTAATAAATAAATGTTATATAAAATAAGATTGTCCAATAATAAAAAAAAAAATTTAATTTCTGTTTGGTGAGTGAACAGGCTCTAAATGTTTCCTTTAAGGCTCGCAGCTGCCTGCATTTTGAGTTGCCAATTAGGTCAAATTTTTGCCACTTTAACCTATTACTATTATCAGTGAGCCACTACATTTTAGACTTTATTTCTTAAGTGAATATCAATGAAAAAATGACAAGCATATATACAGTATACTGTACAGTAAAGCCTCGAATACCGACGGTAATATTGTCCTCCAATATTGTGAATCATTAATTACCATTAAAGTAAAGCAATAAATATGAGATGCATTACCAAAGTCTGACCTTTTCATATTTTTTGTGTTTTTTTTACCCTCTTTTCCCCCCAAAACAATATAATTAATGAAAAATGCTAACTATATTCTTTAAATAATGTTTATGAATGCACCTTATACAATATAAATCAATAATAATATGGTCACACAAGAGGAGATGGGACGCCATTGTTGTTATCTGTGTTTACACTCATAATGTCTGTTATCCATCTGAAACCCGGGACTTAAGGGTTAAAAACAGTTTGGGACACTAGAAATGAATATTATGACAACAAAAAAACAAGTGATGTAAATAACACGGGTGTTGACTGGAGACTGAACAGCATGAGGCCAGAAGGGGCGGGCGAAACACAGGTTGAGTTCAGATATCCTCCGAATTGAGTGGATTATGTCACCTTCCCTTCTACTTCCTCAAGGAAACTATACTATACATGCTCTCTACCATTCTCTTAGTATTTTTTTATCCATGCCTAACCTATGGTATACTGTACTCTCATCTATCTCATCATTTTTCCGTCATTCATCCTTAACATTGCGTTGGTGATTTCATCCACTGACTTAAGTTTGTCTCGGCACCTCATCACTTAATATTTTTCTTTCATTCTTCTACACCCTGAAGATTACTGTATATGTCTGACCCCTCGCATCTTTTATTTTTAACATTAATTCAGAATATTCTCTCCATCTTTTTTTTACCTCCTCTTTCCCTTGTTCATTCTTCGTTACCACTTCTTTTTGTTCTCTTTAAAACCTTGTAGCAAACTTTCTTTCCATCTATCTTCAGTTTTTATGTGAGGAGCACAGAACAGAAGTAGGACAAGCACTGTAAATGAAAAATGGAAGAAATGCAGTTAAAGATTGCAAACCTTCAAATTACCATAACTTTGGAACCAGTGAAGATATTGAAGTGATTCAAGTGAAAGATTGTAGTATTGTTAGTGCATATTTAATTGATACTAGTGAAAGACATTATACATATTGTTTTAGGGTATACCTGTGCTTGTCCTACTTCTGTTTTGTGCTCCTCATATATTCTCTCAAATTGCTTTTTTTTTTTTTTTATCTCCTTATACAGTATGTCCCCCAAGTTCGCGGAGTTTTACTTTGCGGTTCTCGGTTATTCGTGGATGACACCCTGGATGTACCCAAGTATGTCTGTGGGTAGTTTTAAAGTTGCCGGCATTTTTGCGGCTGGGACAGGGAGCCATTTGTTCTAGAGGCAATAATTTCCTTTACCTGTATTGTAAATATGTGTGTGTGTGTGTGTGTGTAGACACACACACAAAACAAATACAAATAAATAATATTGGAAAATCCTGATTGTGGCAGTCTACCCTCAAGTCCATGCTCTATTATTTTATTAATAGAGCACGGACTTGAGGGTAGACTCATATTTTTAATAAATTTGTTTCTGATTATTTGTGAGAGGATTTTTCAATTATTATTTATTTGTATGTGTTTTGTGTGTGTGTGTGTGTGTACATACACACACATATACAATACTACAAGTAAAAGAAATAATTGTCCTAAGGGCAAACACATAATGGGAATATACATTTCTTTGTACACAAGTAAAAATGTACCCCTCCCGTCCGCAAATGTTATTCGCTGATTTGGCGATTTGCGGCCATTTTGAGAACCAAACCCTCGCAAATTTGGGGGCCCTCCTGTAGTCCTCCCTTCTTTTATCTCTCCTTGCTTGCAACTGGCAATCATATAATCTTGTATTCTTAGTTAGCAGAGCCTTCTCATTTCAACGTCTATTCTTGTTTTGCTTTCCTACAGTACTGTATTCTGTTGTAGCTCAAACATTACCCTTTCATATACATACAGCACTCATAAAGTGATCTTGTTCCTCTTCATCCCTTCATATTTCACCCTTATTGCATTCATTACTGTAGCAACTTGAAGAAGAGGAAAGTAGGTTGTAAGATATGTGTGAAATGAATGAGCTTGGTGAATTTAACCATAAGGTCTAGTAAAGTGGGCATTTGAAGAGCAAGTGAATGAATTATGTTCATGCAAAGATTTAGCTTGTAACATGATATTGTACCCTCAGGATCAACTCCAACATCATGACTTCACCAAGTTCAATGTAATGAAGCCCCGACTGCTAGAGGCTGTGGACAGGATGCTGGCAGAAGACATTGCCCGTTTGATGGCAATGATCCCAGTCGAAGAAGCAGCCTCAAACAAAGAAAATGCAGTCATTCGTGGTAAGTTCAACTCTCATCATGCTGACTTATGGGTGTCTTTGAAAAAAAGTTGCACCTTGTTATTATAGAGTTCGAGAGTAATTTATATATTTGCTTTTGTCTTTTTTAAAACATTTTATGATACAAAATATGGGAAGTTTGAATAGAAGAAGTTAGAAATAGGGAAGATTAATGGTCAAGTTTTGTGGTCCTCCAAGGAGGTAGGGTTGGGCTGAATTAACTGATAATATTAATATCAAGGATAAATATATGCACTTGACTTCCAGCATCTCCCCAGAAACTGAAGTTGGTGCAACAACATTCACATTGAGGGATGGTGAGTAGGCCCATTAGCAAACTTTCATACTGAAAAAGAGAGTGCCTACCCCACGCGCATATTTTTTATTTATTTATTTATTTTTATTTTTTTAAGTTTCAGTTCATTTTATTTTTTCAGGTGGTGCTTTTGATGGTGTGATGAATGACAGCACAGTTTTTGGTTTCAAGAGAGGAGAGGGAGCAGATGCAGGAGCTGGTGACCCAGATTGGATAGTAGCCAAAGATCGCTTCAAGTATGACCAACTTTTTGACAACCTTAACCCTGTCGATGGCAAGATCACTGGCTCAGGTAAGAGACACTGCTCCCGAACAAGGTGTTTTGACTATCCATGAACAGGATGATTAGACTCTTATAGAACATGATAATTGACTCCAAGCAGTATGATTAGACTGTGAGTGAATAGACTTTCCAAATATTGTGAATTGATTGTGTCCTTGAAGATGATGATTAAACTAGTTGGTAGCATAATTTTATACATAGTGTGTACTGCTATATGTACCAAAAGTCAATAATCACTGTTTATCAAAATTTTCATCAATTGAGGCAAATGGCTAATAATGGATGGAGAACCCACCTTTAGCAGTACTGTATAGCAGTGGTTCTTAAACTTTTTTGCCTCGTGTCCCCCCACCCCCTTATGCAACCCATGGTTATTATAGAGTGGGAGGGATGAGCAATCATGTACAAGACGCGTTCAGAACCTGACCAGACCTTTCTCTCTGACCACTCGTGCCCCCAGTTTAAGAACCACTGCTGTTTAGTGATACAGTACAGTACTGTACATACCCAGACTAGGTATTCTCTGATAATTACTGTATATTTCAAGCATTTACAATGAAATAATAACAGTTGAGCAAATAGCATGTACTATATCCCCAAGTGGTTAAGCCAAAGCCTCGGCAAAGCATGACAAGATACGGTCTAGTGTTCCATGATTTGTAAATTTTAACTCATGGTGTACAGCTACTAATCCATATTTCCAAACAAAAATCATGTCTTGTATTGATTATTAATTAAAAACAAGCCACCTCACTGTAATAATGTAGGTGTTACAACTTTTCATTGATAGGTGACAATAGGCAGAATCACTTCATATGCTTGTTTTCACTATATTTTTATAAGTGATATCTCCATTAGCCGGAATCCCTCAAACCCGGAACTCTCTGATAGTCGGAATTGAAGTTTTCTTGGATTTGGGAAATTTTGCAGAAAATTCTGACTTTGAGAACGATTTTCTGAGGGGCACATTTTCTGGAAAATTCCAAGAAAAAAATTCCTGATACCAGAAAATTTCCAGGGATGGGGGGATTTTTTCTGGGTTTGAGAGATGAAAATTACCCAGAAAATTCCAGGGATGAGGGATTTTTTTCTGGCTTTGAGAGAGTTGTCTCGTTACCCGGAAATCTCTCATTCCCAGAAGTGCTCTGCACCAATTGTTCCGGCTAACGGAGATATCACTGATTTACATTTTCTGTATTATTATGGCGAGTAATTTGCTGTTTCAGTTTGCACTTAACTTCTGTTTTGTGGCTACTGCATTTGGACAGTAGTTTGGTAGCTTTCCTCATTTAATGGCACTTTTTATACAAGAAGAAATATTATGGAATAATTGGTACAGATTGGTTCAGGGATTGAGAGATTTCTGGGTATGGAGACAAATTTTTTCATCCTCGGAATTTTTCCAGGTACTGGGGAAAGTTTTACGGGAGTCCTATTTCTTTAGGCTGCGGTCACTGGCAAAAATATTTACAGTTAGCAAAAAAGTGTATTAACTTTTATCCACGGCATCTGTTCTAATTGTATTTGAGAGATAAATTTGGTACCATAATGATCCTGAAGAAATTTTCTACAAGATTGTTTCAATAAAAGATCCTTAAACAAATATTTTGACCAATATAATGATGGAGACTCAAGTCTTCTATGAAAAAACGTAAGAAAGGCTTATACCGGAGTCTGTAAAATCAGTTCTAATTACATTAGAAATGCCATTTATTTATTGGAATAATCATGAATAGTTTACCTAAAGGTTTGTTTAAATAAATATACTGTATACTGTATATAAAAACAATCTAGTTAAACATTACTGTAGGTTTGGCATTCTTGCAGCTTGACAAGGAAATCACCCCACCATCTGGGATTTTCCACTCTGTACTGGGAAAGTATTCCAAGAGTGTAAACTACACATCTCACAGACGGAGCTGTATTTTTTATGCAAACACCACTACACAAACAGTACATTGTAAATAAACAAAATATACTACTGTATACTTTATACTGTACTGTACTCCAGCAGATGCTGTCGTCTTGAGCTTGTGATACAGGCAGGCAGGTCAAATGGTGATATGATGATACATGATGGCCTGCCTTTGCCCTGTACCATCTTCTGTAGCAGGTGTTGCTAACTATCACTCTCCTCTCCCTCCATGAAGGAGGGATTGTATAAGCACTGTACACCGTACATACACTTTTTACATGCTGGCATACACTGTCCATTCTTTGCACTGTACAGTACAGTATACATAACTGTAATCACTTTTTAAGTCTTAACACTTCTTTAACATTATTCTTGGCTGATTATATGCTGTGGATACAGTACCGCACAACACAGATCGTATGCGAAAACAGCAGTAAGTGAGTGAAGAAACTTGTACAAAGGTAGCAGACAATGAACTAAGAGTATCATGATGCAAGAGTTTGAGTAATTAGGCTGTGAGAAACATCAGCCACTCATAGGCAGCCCATACAGTCACATGACAGTTGTAGCCAATCATAGCTTACCCACCCATGTTCCTGGCATGCATCCCCGCATTAGAAACATAATGGAATCTCTTGAAAATTCACTCCCATGCCTAGTAACAGAAAGATTTTCTCAGAATTTTCCGGAAATGCGAATGTTGCAATCCTTGGAAATTTGTTCCCATGCTCTGAATGGTGAGATTTTTTTCCAGAATTTCTCGGAATGCTCAAATATTTTTTCTGGCTACTGGAGAGTTCCGGGGATTGAAGAGTCCAGCTAACAGAGAGATTACTAGTATTGTAGTATTAATTGTATCATCTTCTGTACCTTCTAGAAATATTACCGGGGTACATATTAATTATCACTTCCCTTCAATTTCTTTCACTTACTAGTACTGTACTGTATTACAATGTGTATCTACTGTATCTTATCATGAGTATCCCTTTTATAATGCAAAGTTCAGAAAGCTTCATGTCCTTTTCCAGTAATTCATTAAGTACTGTATTATTATTCTGTGAACACTTAATCACAGCATTGTTATTGTAGTTGTCAGATCTTGCAATTTTCTAAATACTTTTTGGTAGATATGTGGGAGGTATCATTGTACAGTATTAGAGGTTGGCATGTGAACTGATTATTTTGTTCTCTTAAAATTTCAAAACACTTAACTTTAGCTTAATATACAGTATTGCATATAGTAGTGTATAAGATTACTAATTTATCTCAATTTTATAATATATATACATGAGCATCTGTTATATATTTTTAATTATTTCTTTCAATTTTACAGCGGCTAAGCACGAGATGCTCAAGTCAAAGTTACCCAACTCAGTACTGGGCAAGGTTTGGAAAATGTCTGACATTGATAAAGATGGTATGTTGGATGCAGATGAGTTTGCACTAGCAATGCACCTGATCAACATCAAGTTGGATGGTAACGATTTGCCCAACGACCTCCCTGAACACCTAGTGCCTCCGAGTAAGAGAGGGTTCCAGGCCTAATTGAAATACTTAATTCTTAATGGCAGTACGTAAAGATTTCTTTGTTTTGAATGAGGACGATGTGGCTCAGCTCACAGCTTTTATATGGCTACACTTTGTTGATGGTGGTGTCTAGAGGGAATGTTTGTGTAGAAAAATAAATATTCAAATTAACTATTATATTTATGTATTCATTAACTGAGAGAATAAAGTTAGCTCTATATAGATTTATAATTTTTTTAATGGAGAAATAGTTGGCAAATTAGCATCTATTGATGTACTTCTCTGCCTTGAATGGTGGTTCTTCCATTGGCTCATATATTTCATGTGACAAAGGACAATAGTATTAGAAAGGAAATTTTGTTTTTTGAATTTTATATATATAGAAAGACTATTTCTGTCCAACACAAAAAGATATTGTTGGACATGTCTATAATTGTCATGAGTGGGTCATATATTCTTTCTGACAAATTAGTGTATTGCAAAGTTGCACTTCTCTTGCTCATTTCCCGCTTTGGTGTTTTGAGTGAGGTGCTGAGACCAGTCTCCCAGTGATTAGAATAATTAAAACAGTGTTAATAGATTTTTGGGGATTTTCAGCATTCACCAGCAAAGAAAACAAAGATCTAGTCGATAATCTACTCTCACTTTCAAAGGCTTTATACCTTGAGATATTCACAAGTCAGTATTTCAACAATGGTCTTTGCTAAGTTCTGACTAGTTGGATTTATTCTTTGTTCTATATACAGTAGAATATCTTCATTTGAGTAATTTTTTTCTATGAGTACAGCTACGGTCATGCACAGCATTCATGCTGCTGTTTCTTAAAGAACTTAGCAAAAGCTGTCGTGTAATTGCTGTCTGTAGTATATAGACATCGGGTAGGCTAATGTTCACGCAAGTGCCGGAACTTTTTTCCTACAAGCTAAGTCTGTCTGGTGATTTTTTTCATATGTGAATGAGCCTGGATTGTATAAGTTCTTTATGATTTGTAATTGGAGAATGGATTGAGTAAAAAAATTTATTTGCAAAGCTTTGATAAGGTGCTATATGATATGCAAAGCTTGATTAGTCTTGCTACCAAATATTACCACAGTTCAATATCAGGAGATAATGTCATTCCATCATTTGTTGTGTAGATTGCGAGTCCTCATACTGGACCAGTTGTGTTACTTTGGTTAGCACTGCAGCAGTTAATCCATGGCCAATAGCTGGGTAATAGGTGTTACAGTATTTGAGAAAGACTAAACTGTCCCCCATAATTACTCAGCTTGCTTATGGACACACATTCAGAGCTCCAACTTTCCAAAAAAAAATTTCAGAGTATTTATCTTAAATTTATTTCTTCATATTTAATTTTGTTGTTTTTTCCATGGAAGATTTGTAAAATGATTCTTTTGTTACTCAAGTTCTGCTCAGTATTCAGATTACATTCTGTAACCTGGATAATGACTGAAGTAACAGGGTGGAGTAGATAACTGTCATGTAACTTTTGAAGGCTCGGACAGTCTGTCAGTTTCTTTGAAGCAGGACTGGGAAATTTTGTTTCTGTTTGTTTTCCTTTTAGTTCTGCATTATAGATCATTATATGCTCAAGAATTTTTTTCAGCCATTTTGACTTTATACTCCACCTTAGTTATTTCTTCACAGGCTTCGGAACAGCTACTGTGTCCCTGTGTTTAAGAGTTTATTTTACGATTGTAAATTTATTGTAAATAGGCATAATGTTACATATCTTGAGTTTTTATGCAGTAAAGCAATTGGAAATGTCAATCCCCAATGTTGCCAACTCTTTCAGGAAACCAAAGAATTGATTCCTTGTATGCCTGTAAAAACTGGTACAGTACATTCAGAATATTTTATTGTTTGTGTAAGCCAGCAAAAGGAAAAAGTTTATAACCTCTAAGTATATTACTTTATACATAAATTATGCAAGTAACTTTGTCTTTCTTTACTGTAAACCTTCTTTATTTCTATAAAGTGCTAATTTGATGTACATGTGTCACAGTGCACTTGAAAGTGTGTACAGTAGTCTGAACTTGGTACAGTATACCCATTACTACTGTACAGTGGGAAAAAGTGTAGTTGTTATACCTGAAGATTTAAGAGCATACAAAAACCTGTTAATATTTCTAGCAGGTTATTTGTTTTTTCTTGAATTGAGTGCATTGAAACTAGAGGGCATGTACTGTAAAAAGATTCATGACGTGTAACATCAAGATATAAGTTCTGAAAGGGGTTGATCCATTTTTTGTTTTCTTGTTTGTCCAAAAGATATCTTGCTTACATTTTCTGACCTGACTTGGCTTCAGCATTGTATGAAGCTTGGCACAGGTGTGAGAAGTTACCTTGTGTGCCTTGGTTATCTCGGTACCTCGACCCTATAAATGTGGACTGTATAATTATGTACCATAACCAAACTGTACGGTAATACAATTTCACTCTTGAGTGTTGGAAATAATAGACATTTTCTTAAATTTAATAAATAATTTATTAAATATATCACAACAAGAGTAAATTTAGACTTGAATAGTACCTTGAAAGTATTTATTCTTGCTAAAGCAGTATGGATAGTCTTAGCAGCTGAAGCTAAAAAGAATGCAGAAATAAGGAAAAGCTCCAAGTCATAACCGTCTCCAAGAAGTCTTCTTGGAAAAGGAATGAGTTTCTGCATCATAAGATAATGTAACCTTTTATAACTGACAGAGTCATCAATACTATTACTGTCTGTGTACATAACCTCCTCATATGCCTGTTCTATGCCATTTTTTATTATTACCATTGCTTTTGGCAGTGTGTGAAATGGTAGTGAAGATATCTATCAACATTGATCCTCCAAAGACTGGCTGGGCTGTGTACTGGGACTTGAGGAGTGTGTTGTGTGACTAGTAGCTCTTGTACTCAATGCTGTAGTTTTTGTGAGTGGAGAGACTGTAGTTGCTGACACTGTTGGTGTGCTGGTCATGGTGGTTATTATTGGTATACATTATATCTAGTGGTTGTTGATGGGGTGAAAATTTAAATACTGAATGATGTAGGTCTACAGTAGCACAGTAGCTGGATCTGGTGTAAATTTAGTGGTAGGTGTGGTAGAAATTACATTCTCTCATTATGTATTAGTAGTACAATCCTCTGCTACTAATAAGCCTTTTGTGACTCTTTGGTCTATGTTTCTCATGATGCCTTGGTCCGTGTCTTCCTTAACTGTGTAGTCCATGTTTCTCACAGCTCCTTGGTCCATGTCTTACATGACTGTGTGGTCCATGTTTCTCACAACTCCTGGGATTACTTTTTAAGTTACACCGGCCATATTGCCCTTGCTGGAAGAAAAATTTATTTAAAATGACTACTGTATTGAAATTTACATTACTTAAACACACTGTTACTGACATTAAGAAATTACATGAAACATTATGGAAAGGAGAGGCACTTGCTTAATTCATTTGACAACAAGGTTCATTAACTTACTTTCTCAGTCTCTTACCCTATTCTTTTAAGAAGACTCGGTTTGCTGTCATTGGTCTTGCTTGATACGGTACTTGTAACCTATTCTGGAACACACAAGGCATAATTACAGTACACCTGTATGTACATGTAGGTACAACATACAGAGGTTTCAATATAGCAGTACTGTACTGTACTTCTAACATCACTCAGGGTAGACTCTCAGCATAACCTAACCAAATTTGAACATTTCTACATACAGTATTTTCACCTGAACTCCTCACACAAAAATACTCCTTCGTTGGTTCCTTCTTCAATATCTAGAAACATATATTTTTACCTCTGTGTAACCTAGTCATGGGAGGCAACATATCCTTGTGTGTAGATGATATACCAAATATTGTGTAAGATATTAAGTGTAAGTACTGTACCTCAACACATTCTATTTCTTCTCTATAGTTGTTGAAAGATTTAATACATGTAGTTTTATACTGCAGTTGACAGTTGTTTGTCCTTTTATTAACTGATGAATTATCTTCACCAATGACCATGTGCATTTCTAATACTTTACTAGATGTAGTGTACACATAGTTATGATAATGAGTATGATAATAATTTGGATAATCATTATTCTAATCCTGTTCTAAAAATCTATTCATGATCAGTGACTAATCTTCTGTGCACTGTAAGACAACTTTTAAATTATACAAAAGGGTGAAATTTTGCTCATTACGTACTTCAATATTTTATTCATAAAATTTGACTACCATTGAAAAGCTTGGCATAAAAAGGCATGAAAATCTGTTCTTACACACATGTTCTAGTTTTTATAACTTGTAAATTTATTATATCTTATCTAGACCACTTGATGGGCTGTCTCAACCAGTCATTTTATGCACTGATTGGTACTGTCCAGTACCCCTGCAGTTCATCACATGTCAGCTTGTGGAGAGAAATTGGGACTGGTAGGCATAGTCAGTGGGCACAAATACGTAGTTGGACTCGCAATCTCATCATGAATGTACAGTATAGTATATCGTTACTTCAGTCGACAATGGGGAGCCAATTCAAGCACTAAGGTCACCCAGAAAACTGCTGAGGCCATGTAAGTGTTGTTAAGCATGGTGCAGAGAGTAAAGTGACAGGCATCTGAATGCAAACCCCACCCCATATCATTACTTGCACATAACATCAAGAAAGAACACTGCACATGTATTAAGTAAACTGGATACAGTGAAGAAATTCTATTATTCTACAAGAGTGGAGTTCCTGACCTTACATGTACTCTTCAAGAAAGTGAAGGAAAATCCAGTGAAGTTTGAAGGTGGGAGGACGGCACTGTGGAAAGTTGTTCTGAACTTGAGTTTAGATAATTGTGAGAGTGTCAAGTGGGAGGGCACTTTTAATGGAGAAAGATAACAAAGTGGTGGTAAGGAACAGGTACCTAAGGTTAATTGAAAAGAAAAAGTAGCCCTACCAACAGATGACCAGAGGTGTTTTTGGATGAAACCTCTGTGAACCACGCTAACACAAGCAAACAAAGGAACACTCCCGTCCACTAGCCTTGTAAATTATGGTTTGTAATAAACTGTAATGATTTGTATCTGAATTATTTGTTACTAAATTCTGAATGTACTATTACCGGTATTACAATGTATATTAAACTTAGCACTGTAAGTGACAAAAAATCCAAGGAACTAAGAGATAGTGTGAGGACAAGAGTGGAGAAAGATAGTTGAGCTCTGTTCCTGAGACAGTGTTTCACTAGTGGTGTGCATTCAACGAATGGTAGGTAATCAAATTGACTCCTACGTCTCCACACTCCAACCCAACCTTTATCCTGATTGTGTCTGCCAATCATCAACATCGTTTCGTTCGTCCCAGATGTCTACCTTAAGTGAACAGCGTACAGTATACCTACAGTGCTTACTTACCTCTCATCACTGCAGTTGTGGGTTCAAATACTTAAGTTATATGTGAGAAGCATGTTATCCAGTGTAACATTGCATGTTTTCTCCTGGTAGTCTGATTTACTCCTGCACATTGAAGGTTGTAACAAAATATCAAAGAAGAGAGTGCTTGACCAAATGGCTGATAAGTGGCAGAAATTATTATTATTATTATTATTATTATTATATATATATATATATATATATATATATATATATATATATATATATATATATATATATATATATATATATATATATATATATATATATATATATATAGTAAACAGTTTAGTTTATTAGTTTCACTAGTCACTGCTCCCCATCCCTCAAAGAGATTGAAGCCATCTCTGCTGGCACAGACATTTACAGTATTTATAAATAGAATTTCTTTCAGTCATGTAAAGGAGTATTTAAGTGAAGGTTGTTCTGGGAACTTATGAGATTTACACTGTGCTGTACTGTGAATCATACCTGGTGCACCATCTGAAGATTGTTGTTTATTATTACATCAGGCCTGGGCATCATGTTGTACATATCCCACTGCATTTCCCAATGTCGTTGTTTCTCTTGCATTTTATATAGCAGCCTGTAATAGGAAAATCATTATGCAGGTTTAGCAGCAATTGAAAGCTTGTACTTGATAGAGCAGTTACAATGTTGATGTTTTTACCAATCTATAAAGCACATTTGTGAATTTGGAAAAAATCACTCTACAGCTTTTGCATTGAGTAACAATACTATCAGTACAATATGTAATATGAGATCTCAAGATGGCTAACTTACTTACCTGTTTGCAAAATAATTTCCTCCCTCATATTTTCCTAGATCCTGCACACTAAACAACAGATGAATACACTATCAGGTGCTCTTGCCAATGGTGGAAGAATACTTTGATAAAGACTACCTGTATCATCCTGCCAAGGAGATAGAATAACCCACTAGCTGCTGAATGCTAAGAATCAGGGGATCAGCTCTTTTCTGGCCACGTTGAAACATATTTTGGTGCACAAAAACCCTACAAGTGGGAAACTAATGTACCTGTACGAATTTGAAATATTTTTTCTTTAAAATTGACACTACTGTACTGTACTAACTACCAGTACAATGTACTGCATGATTAGTCTGTGCACTACCTCCCCATTTTTCTGTTGGGAAGAATACTGTACAGTATATGAAAATCAAGTTTAAATTATTTAAATATGCAATGCTTTTTGAAGATTGTGGGTTTAGAGTCGATCTTTGATTATCCCAGGGAGTTACAACCCTTCCTTGCCAACGAAGAGGGTGCTTGAAAGTCTAACATACCTGTATAATGTGTTTTTGTTGGTTTGGAAAAATTAGCTGATTTATCCATGTCCTAACGGTTTTCTACAGAATATTTGTAGTACCGGTACTTCTTTCTGGACCAGAGGGTGTTTGGTTTTACTGATTTAATCATAAGCTTATTCAGTTTCCTTGTCTGGCTTTTGAGAAAAGCAGTAGAGGGATTTTATTGTATTTAATGTCCATAATTTATGACTTTCTGTTTGGGCTATTACGGTAAGCAAATTTTATTTTCACAGTACAGTACTACGGTATGTTATTTAAAGTTTTTGGTAAAATCTCTTAGTATTTAGTACATACTATATATTGTATTAGATTACTTTATTTCTTGGAGTTCCTTTATATTATAATTTTATTCAAATCTACACGTGAAGTTTCCTTGATACAGTACAGTGTATTCAAAGAACCCTAAAAAATACAGGTACAGGTTTATATATTTTTTATCATAAAAAATCTGCACATTTTGGACTGTACACTTCAAGGGTTTTACATTAAGGTATTGTACAATATACAGTACTGTACAGTACATATATCCCTGAAGTCACACACTTATGCTCTTCCCACGCTAACCTGGCCCGTAAGCCACGCCCCTCTTATACACTAATAGCTGATTGGTTCATAGAAAATTCATACTAAATGTGTTCACAATTGGTAAGCAGACCTGTTATTTCTAAATTAATGTTAAATACTGTATCTGGATTATTAAAATGCAAATGATTTCAAGGCATTAGCACTTCAGAGAGGATATTAGAAATTTTTAAATATTTATCATAAAGGTTGATATACAGTAAATACGTGCTTATATACGAGCAGTCCGGGGGTTAAGATGTTCAGGGGAAGCAATCAGCTATTTGTAGCTATAGACGAGGGGCGTGGCTGACGGACCAGGTTAGCGTGGAAAGGGTATACTGTAGTTCAATTAATCAGTCAAAAGAGCCATCCTTATATCTGAGGATTGGCGACTACAGTCCTCCACTCTAAATGTTTTCAGCCTGTTTTTTTAGAGATTTTTGCATCTCTCTCCAGACAAAGTTTTTAATTCCATTCATCGATTCTAGTCTCTGTTTTCCCCTGGCCTCCCTACAATTAACTTTGGCCATTACTATTTCAGCTATTATCTCCCCATCCCTATTTAAATGACCAAAGTTATCTCATTTTCCTTCTATAAATTTCAAGCATTTATCTTTATGTTTTTGCCAATCTTCGTAGTTCTACATTTGTTTTCCTGTCAGTGTAATTTAGTTTTAAAATTCTCCAATACAGGTAACACCATATTTCAAAGACCTCTACATCTGCTGAGTGTCCACACCTCTGATCCATTCAACAGTCCAGACCATACATTGTATTTTAGCAGCGCTTTTTTTAAAACTGAAGCAAATGTGCCTTTTTATTGGGTCTTGTAGGTTAAATGATGTTTTTGCTTAACCTATTCTGGTTTTGGTTTCTTTTGCACCTCTACCATCATAGCTAATGTTATATCCTACTGGTAAATGCAAAAAATAAAATAAAAATCCACCTGTTTAAGTTCCCTGCTGCCAACAGCAATTTTTATATTTTAGGATTTATTTCGTATATGGAAACAACCATTACTTTCGTCATTACAGCATTAACTCTCAGCCCATATTCTCCCCTTTTTCCACTATTCTGTGAACCAGTTTTTGTAATGTCTCTTCACTATTTGTGATAAGAGCAGTATCATCTGAATAGAGTATACTGTATACGAACCGTATGTGATATTGGAAGCATAATGTATTGTCTAAAGGTAGACTTTGCTGCCATATGGCAACATGAAAATTGTGACCAAGTCCCAGGTTGCTGATCTGACTTTCTGCCTCATTTACACACAATTACAGGGTCTCAATTGTTTCTCTTACTATTGACAACACAACATACATATACAGTATTGTTTCTCACTTTTGATCTTTTTTTCATTTTGTACTTTATTATTATTATTATTATTATTATTATTATTATTATTATGACAGTGTTATTATTATTATCATTATTATTATATTATTTAATTTTAAATTTTTTATTTTTTATTATAAATTTTATTTATGAATTATTATTATTATTATTATTATTATTATTATTATTATTATTATTATCATCATTAATATTAGTGTTATTAATAGTACAGGGTATTATATTAACCCCCCCCCCCCAAGCCCCAATGTGGGTCAGTGACCTGTGCCCGGGTGGGCTAATCCCCATTAAAAAAAAAAAGAAAAAAAAATCGCTAAGAAATCCGTATACAGTATACTGTACTGTGCTGTATTATACAAAACTGGAGACAGAACAGAGCCTTGTCTTACACCTAGTTAGTTATTCGTTATAGTCATTCAACTCTTAGCTCTTGGGTCGTACCTAGAGAGCTGGTCTGGCTCCTCACCAGACTCCAACATGAGGGTGTTATACTCGTTGGGCCGCTGCAGCAGTTGATCCACCTTGAGCACCGACTGCCACAGTGAAGTCGCATCTGTCACGCCACCAATATCACTTGACTGACTCACCTGTTAAATGACAAGATGTGTCACTAACTGGTTGTGAAGACTGTTAATGTAGGAGACTATCAGGGTATGTAAATAAGTGGCAGTGAGGAGACTGTCAGGATATGTCATCAAGCGGTTGTGTAGACTGTCAAGGTGTTACTGTCAATGTTGTTCAGAGAGTCAGTCTATCTGTCTTGTTAAGATCTGAGACTACTGTATTGAACTCTTCTAGTATAGAACACCATTAGTGCAAGGTCGAGGTTATGATTCACTTGACAGTGAGTATACTGTTCTATCAATGAAACTGTAAAACTGAGGCAACATGTGTTTTAAAGTTCTCTTATGGATTTGCTTGCCATCTTGATACTCTGGGTTTCTTCGCATATAATCCCTTCACCTAAGCTAATGAGATACTACCCAAATTAACCAATTTTAAGGTGTAGCTGAAGTAAAATTTCTCTTTCAAAGGTACACAGTGAAATCATATGAAGAAACTGATAATTGGGTCCAAATGTCAAGATGACAGGCAAAGCCTGTGAATCGTATGGTAAATCCTTGACATAGGACTCCATTTACAGTCCTTCAGTACACTAATAGGGTTTTGTCAATGAATCTGTAAGCACTTTCTTGGGATAAATTTTTTTACCAAATCTGATGGAATCTAATATGGTATAATTTAACATTTAGTAATGGGAGTCAGTGGGGTTTTTCATCATTATTTTCTTGTGGGATTTGAGGATTTTTTCCAGTTGAAAGTTGTCTCATGAATACATACAGTGAGAGAATAAAGTATCTAACCAGCTTTGGTCAAAGTATAATGAAACCTGAGTACCCAACACAATGAATGGAGTCACTGGTGACCCCTTTCCTAGATTTCACAGGCCTGTCAGCAGCTTGTATTGAATGGCTTATTCATCAAAACCCTGGTTAGATACTTCATTCCCTCACTGTACATTATCCTGTGGGGTTTAGTTCATCCACCACTTGAAAGTTGTTGCTACAAAACCTTGAGATATGTTGATAGTTAAGAATAAAAAAATTTCCCAAAGCAAGTGCGTACTACATAGGATCCACTTTTTTTTAAACACCATGAGATCTGAAATAAGAGGTCGTTACTCACTAACCGTGGTAGGTGTGGTGGTGGGCAAGGTGGTCAGTGGTTGGATGGTGGGTTGTGGGCTTACAGGTGGGGAGAACCAAGCCACCATCATCACAAGCAGCACCATCACCTCCCGCACCTCCATCATGACTCCTGAAATGAGCAAAAGAAAATCACTGGTTAACACACTAGTAGAACCACCTCCTGTGGATAATTGACACCATGTACTGTACTTCTCCTCCTGTGGATAATTGACACCATGTACTGTACCTCTCCTCCTGTGGATAATTGACAATATGTACTGTAATTCTCCTCCTGTGGATAATTGACACCATGTACTGTACTTCTCCTTGTGTGGGTAATTGACACTATGTACTGTACTTCTCCTCCTGTGGATAATTGACACCATATGAGGCGCTCCGCATTAGAAGGGGGTGAAGCGACACCTCGGCCAAAATGGGTTTTTTTTTATGGATATCACTACTTTCACCCTTCCTCAACATGTTGGCATTGGATGTAACCATCTAGCTAGAATAAAAATATGGTAGAAAGTCCTTAAAAACTAAGGTGTGATTTCGCCTCAGGCCTGGAGCTACATATGTGGCTGTGCGCTGTCAAAGAAAGTGGCAACATCCCATTCAGAGCGCGAGCCAATGACAGCGCGCCTCCCTCGGACCATACCCTCTGAGGCATCCAATCACAATGGATTTCCCCTTGCTACGTCACAACTCCTCGGCCAATCCGTGCACCCAGATGCTGCCTCCTTCTTAGTTTTGGCACATATTATAACATAAGGAGGTTCAGTGTACATTCTACTGCCATTTCTTATAACTTTTCGGCATAACATTGATGTTATTCGTGTTCCACGGGTGTGAGAAGTGCTGTGCAATCTGCCCAATATTAGAGGAAGACTCAAGTGAGGCCAGACCTTCTGGTGTGGGTTCAGGAGCCCATTATTCGTGAGCTTGTGTGTAGTGATGCCAGTGCTCACACGGACACCCCAGTAATGCTTGGTGATAGTGATTTTGGTGTTACAAGTGCTACTGGCGATGGTGCAGGTGACGTGCATGAGAATGTTGGTGAGATATCCACTTGTACAAACTTAATGCGACAGTGATGAAACAGATGTAGAATATGATGATGATTATGAGCCACAACAGGATGAAAGTGAGTCCCTTAATGACAGTTACACTGTGATTGCAGAAAAAAACAATACATCACGTTATGAACCATCGGAAGATCTTTTTAGAGACTATGATGACTTACCTGTCGACAATAAGAGTGACTCACAGCATGATGAAAGTGATTATCATAATGACAATAACACTTTGAACGTACAGAATAATTTTTTAGCGTGCTATGAAGTGTCCGAAGATCTTTTTGCCGACTATGAAGAGTTAAAAGACAATGTGTCATGCATTGACGATGATAATGGCAGTGAAAGGGAACTTGAAATAGATGAAATTGAATATACTGTACTCATAATACAAAAAGTGATTGCTAAGCATCACAAGATCTTTTTGCAGACTGTGATCCAGTATAGAGTTACGTGACATGCACTGACGGCAATAATGACTATAAAAGTGAAGATGAAAATGTTGAAAGTGAGTCTAATGGTAACACAAACAGTGACAATAATGTATCACAACAAGAACAGACCTAGATAGTGATGAAAGTGAGCCTGACCCAACGAATGCTAGTGAAAGTGAGCCCATAACTCAGCCTTATAATGAAATTAAACTGTTGCCGGCATCAATAATTAATCAATGATTTAGTTGATGAAGAATCTGTGTGGCGATTTTTAGAGAGTACACAGAAAGACTTGGATCAGTATGTGATTGATTGTGACCAGGGTGTAGTGGATACTCTCCCCGGGGTTCGGCCAACTGGCGAGTTTCTCTGATAAGCCTTGCCGTCTAGACTAGGGGGGAGGGGTCGCCACCTGCGACGCTTACTAATGGTTCGACATCCGCTGGACGTGTATATAAGCTCCATGCCTCACCGTTGAGATTGATTCTAGCTAGAGCCCTGCAACACGCAACACCTCCTCCAAAGAAGCTCCTGCGCAGCAACTCCTCTACCACGCAGCAACTTCCCAGCACCAGACTGTTTTGTATATAATATATTTATATAAGAAAACCGCCATAGCTGAGTTTCCCTTCTCACCTCCATCCTATGTGCGATTCAACATCACGAAACCCCAAAAGGGTATTAAAGTTATATGCACTCCTCAGGATTTACGTAACTTCAACTTACTACGATCTTCAGGGATAATTAAATGAAGGAACTAAACAAAGTAAGAATGTAATACTATTATCATGATACTGTTTTTACCAAAGATTATGCAAACTGTCCCCGCCTTTGTATTCGTATGTTAATTACTTTGTGGGGGGATGAGTGTAGTGGTGTTTCCTTATTATTACACAGTATTATATTTAACAATATTATACATCTTTGGCTACTAATAGGGGCGGAAAGATAAATAATGATAGGCAAATGAGTTTTTTTTATTATTATTTCATTGGGGGGGGGGGTGCAAGACGAGTGCTGGTTTTGGTGATCATTAACTTTTTTACAGTATTAGCCCACAATAATAAGAAAATTTTGCAGAAAAACGCGATTAGTGTTTGTTTGAAGATCAAACAACTGTACAGCATGGGTAGTTATTCTCATTCAACTCGTGATAAAATAATAACAATTCAAAGTACCTGTACTAACTTTCAGTTTTCAAAGTTCGCTAGAAGAGGGATTGAGCTGCACGATAAAAAAAAGAACCCCCTAGCTTAAAAAAACAAAAAAGTTGTGGTTGTTTGAACTTCAAAAAACTCTTAAAACGTTTTTCTCAGCTTTTTTAATTTGGCGCTTCACCCCCTTCTAATGCGGAGCACCTCATATACTGCTCCTTTCCCTAAGGGTTGCTAATTCGCACCCAGGGGACACCCAGCTCCTTGGGTACCAAAGGCTGAGTATATATATTGTTAATGGGTTGTACCCACAATGATCACAATCCCTGACAAGCCACTAGGGTTACAAGACCCACTTCCTTCAAGTGTTCAGAGGTAAAGCAAAAGGTTAACCAAAGGCATAGAAACTCATGTATTACTGGAAGATTATAGAGAAAAACAATTCTTGCATCACCAAGTATTGAAGTCTTGATTTGTTCTGTTTAAATAAGGAAGTGGAAATGGCAGTGACTAGTAAAAAAAATAATGGACTGGATGAACTGGTGGTATGAGACATCACACGAGATGGTGAAAGCAGTTGTTAACAGGATGAATGTAGCACCAATAATGGTATTTATGGTATTTAATAGTCCAAGAAAGCGAAACAATAACAGGTAAGGAAGGTGTAATAATTCCCTTTTATAAAAAAATATTTAGTGTCAGTATACAGTACAGTATTGCCAATGTGATAAAAAGTAATTATTGTATAAGGCTCACCGCTCATACTAAACAGGATAAAGCTCACAACAAACAAAATTGAACAAACGGGATTTATAACGGAAGGGTCAACAGTGGAACTGCTTTTTGTAAAAAGACAAGTTGCAGGCAAGATGTGGGAGGATGCGAGGCCAATATACTGTGACTTTATTTATCTGGAAAAGGTACACAGCCCGGTATGGAGCGAAGAAATGTGGAGAATGGCACAGTAATATCATGTCACTGAATACAGTGTAACTAGAGGAACTGATATGAGGGTGGGTGTGGAGAGTTATTAGGCTGGCCAGACGTCCTGCTTTAGGCAGGACAGTACTGTACTGCTTTTGAGCACGCAGTCCTCCGTCCTGCGCCACCTCAAGCAGGACGTTAATTTGTCCTTCTCTTTTGGGCCTGTCTAAAAAGAATTTTATAAATTACCTTACGTATACTAAAACAGTGGGAACTGAAGGCCACATTGGTAAGTAGGCTACTTCGTATAGTTTGTGAAGTAAGTTAATTTGGTTAGCATACAGTATGTTGTTCCACCAGGAGTAAAAATGAATATTCATTTCTTTCAGTTCTTTATTTATACTGTATGAATGCATGTATGTAACATGTACAGTGCGTTTAAAAAAATAAAATTTTAGAAAAACCACAGAATAGCCTTCATTACATTATTGTATAGTGATATTTGACAAATCAACACTTCTAAGTATATTTTGTATATCTTATACAACTTTTTATATTTCAACTCATCATTAAACATGTTTAATTCAGGTTAAAAATAAATGAAGTAAAATTTAAAAAAAATGGCCTCCTTTTTGGAAATTTGGAAATGGCCACCTCGTCACTGTTATGTCAAAATAGATGGAGAAACCAGTGTTTGGTTTAGAATGGATAGCGAAGTGATGCAGGGGATGATTTACTACTCTCACTAATGATATCGAAGTTTCGAACACAATATGAGTAAATGAGAGCTAGGAAAGAAAGAAGGGGGTAACAAGAGGCTATCTTTACGGGTCTATATTCTGCTGGTGACGGTTTGGTTGTAAACGGGGGATGGGCGGTGGTGTTACCATTGTTGGGATGGTGATGATGATGGAGTTGGGCACATAAAAAACTTGGGAATTATCATCAGCAAGAGTGAAGTAATGGAAATTTGCATACATGAGGAAAGTGTCCATCCAGAAGATAAAGCAATACAGTATATTAGTCTAAAAGTTATAGTGCAGAAATTTGTCTTATTTGGGGTGAAAATTAAATATAGTACTGTGGTGTATGGGATGTTTGGTTCACACTCAGGATGGGATGGAGAAAGGAAACTCACAATGTGCTCTCTGTATACATGTTGTATTGGATGTACGATGCAGCTTGGTGCTGGGAAGGCAGCATGGTTACAAGCGTTGAGTAGTGAGAGCTGGTTGGTGAGGGTGCTCAGAGGAGGACAGCTTGTGGGTCGCCATGCTCGCGGGCGGGAGAGAGGACCGCCAGGCAGGCGGAGGAGGAGGAGGTGTTGCTGGCTGGTTTGTGTAGGTAGAAAGAGAGCGATCACCACGAGGTCAGGTCTTAAATAGCGGGGGGTAGGCGTGGCTTAGTAGTTGACCTCCGTGATGTATGGCGGCGCTGGTTGACCCAGACCACGAGGCATACACTGGGGAATTCGCGGGGTCGGCTACGCAGCGACAAACAGCGTTTGTAGGGGAGAAATCCACTACAGTACCTCCTAATATTACC